TTAAGATTAAAAATTGGCTCACCTATAATTATGCTGCAGAATTCAAATGCACTTAAACTATGCCTTCCTTGAACCTTCCTTGAATCCACTTGAACACTCACAAAAAATTTCATCAAAATCGGTTCAGCCATTTAGGAGGAGTTCACTGTCAACACACGTACAGAAGAATTATATATATAAGATATAATATTATTGTTAATGAAGTGTTTAATTTATTGTAATTTACGTATTTTCTATTGAAGCAATATAAGTATAAATAGCATCTTAGTAGTACCGCATCTCCGTCCAATTAGGGCACATTACTATTATTACTATTAAATGTATTAATATATATTTTTAATAAAAAAATTATTTTTTGAACATACAAAATAGTTGTCGATTATGTGACTGGCGTTTGGCATCTAAATTACAGACCTCCTAGTTGTTTGTGGCACAATTAAGGTCATTCATATGACCTTACCAAACAGACTGGACGGTTTTTGGCAAAAAATGACCGCATCATCTCTGATTTGGCTGAAATTTTTTTATGAGCTCCTTTCAAAAAATAAAAAGATTCGTATCTCGAGAAAAAAATTTGTAATTTGTGATTTTTTTTCTAGGGGATATTGACTAATGGGGTTTTAAAAATTGGCGTTGTAGATACATTTTCAAATGGACATATATCAAGCTATATAAATGATAGAAACTTCAAATTTGTTGCGTGTTAAAGATAATTGATTAAACTTTTAGGACATTATTTAAGCAATTAATATTGTTTATATTTAAGTGCATTTTCTATGTAGAATTTAATATACATTCAATTTAGAATAAAAAAGTAAACATTTTTGTGTCGTTCTTTTTTAAAAATTTATGTAACGGTATTATGGTGCTTATGAGTGACGTATATGACTCCTGATAAATTAATTTTTTTTAATTACTTCTATAAACAAAGCCACATTAAAAATATTTATTTTTTAAGTAAAATTTATGGTTTAATCTAAATCAAAACTAAAGAAAAATTTATGTGACATATTCCTCTATTCCTCTATATATGTGATATATTCCTCTTTATCCTTCATTTTACTGAAAAATGAAGGATCAATTAATTTTTTAAAAGTATTTTTTGATAAGTCATTCAATGGAAATATAGTACGCATGTTCTTGATATGATTTGCGGCAAAAAAAAAATTAAAATATTTCAAAAAATAAAGCCATACTGAAAATTTTTATTTCTCACTAAAATTTAAAACTGAATCTAAATGAAATACAAAAAATGAACATTTTGGGGATACATTTAGAAAAAAACTTTTTTTAATTTAACAGTTAATATTAGTACTTAAATAAAAACAATCTTAATTGTTTGAACTTCTTAAAAGTTCAATCAATTATCTTTAAAACGCAACAAATTTCAGTTTCTATCATTTATATAGCTTGAGATATCGCCATTTGAAAATGTATCTACAATGCCAAATGTCAAAACCCATTGGTCCATATGTCTTATAAAAAAACAAATTACACTATTTTATCCCGAGATACGGGGTCTTCTTATTTTATAAAAGAAACTCATAAAAAAATTTCAACCGAATCGAAGATGATGAGGTCAAAAAGATGTCCGATTTATAAAAGAATGACGCATATAATATATATGTTACGTATACGTTAACTGACAAACTATAATAGTATACAACACAAATTATTGTTGCGTGTTTTTTTATTTTTTTTGTTTTGCATAAGAGAATTGCGAACATAGTCTACGTAAAAGTTATTGGAATTTGGAAATTTAAAACCATATATTTTTATTTTGTACATTAAAAGAAGATGATATGGTAGCTTATAAACACAACAAATTAATTATTTCAATATTACCTTCAATATGTAAAATATCCGTGGAAGTTTTTGATATTAAAATGCATTTCTCATGTAGTACAATACTGTTGCAAGCAATTGATGTATATTTTAATGCTAATTCTCCCAAATGGCTGTCATCTATGCAGTGCTGTGTAGTTATATTATCTAATTTATCCAACGTTTCTATAATTTCATTACAAGCAGCTATGGATTTATTAAATGGTTCTTCATAAGACTCATCAAATTTAGTGTTTAACAAAAATCTGTTTGTTTCTAATATAGAACTTATTAATGACATAAACATCATTTTATGCCTTTTGTTATCAGTTTCCCTATTCGATTTAGTAATTTCAAGTTCCGATTCTGCTTTTATAACTCGTTCCTTACAAGCTTCATTACTCAAGTTCAAATTGTTGTAACGTAATTCAATTGAATCTTTATAATTCATCAAGGACTTGTATTCCTGTTCTTTTTCCTAAAAAAAAGTATAGTTGTTAATAGAAATTTTAATGTAATAGAAAATTCAAATACCTTTAACTGTATAATACAATTTTGAAGAGATTTTTTAATGTTGAAAAGCTCAGTTTCTTTATGATTTACTTCAAATTCACATTTTTCTTGAATTTTTTTAATTTCGTCTAATTTACTATTTATTTGGGATTTTAAAACAGTGTTTTCTTTTTCTTGTTCTTCGGATTCTTTAAGGAATGATTCGTTTAAATCTTTTAAAGTTAATTTTAAATTTTCTGTTTCTTTGATTTGATCACTTAATTTTGATTCCTGAAATATTTTTAGCTGCAAGTGATCTGTTTTTAATTTCTTATTTTCGATTAAAAGCGAATCATATTTATTTATCGAATCCGCAATATTAGTCTCTAAAAGAGAATTTTGTTTCTTTAGTTTTTCAACAACATTTAACTTACATTCCATGTCTCTAATTAGCACTTTATTTTCCGTTAATTCATTTTGAAGTAAAGAGTTATTTTGGCGCTCCGTATTTAATATTTTATTTGTTTCTCCATGCTGTGAAATAACAATTAGTATATTAATTATGTTTATGTAAATAATACGTTATTAAGAAATACTTTACTTTCAAACTGCTTAACTTGAATTTCAATAAAAGTAATGCATATTACTTTACAAAATTTTAATAAATATCATAATGACTCTTGAATTTATTGCAAAACAATTAATTGATGATTAATTATAAGATGAAGTAAAAAAACGAACGGAACTATACTTATATTATTAGTAAGAATTATTTTAACTTAAAAATAAATTGATCATTTACAGAAACATATCAAAATAAGTTGATGTTTATAAGGTGTTTAAATTACTAAATATTAACATTGTTTCAAAAAGATTAACTATAACATAATTATACAATCTTATTTATATTACTTCAAGTACAAAATTTATGCCATCGCCGCGAGATTGCAGAGTAAAATGCATCATAAAATTGTGTGTATTTTGTTTTCAATAACTTTCTTAGAGGTTATGCATATAAAGTTTATAAGCACATTTGTGGTGTTAAGAAAAAAAATGCACGCACTCAAATTTGTTGTGCGGTTTCAAATTTCACATCGCACAAAGCGATGATTGTGCACACATATTTGTGCTGTGCGACTGACTTACAAAAATGTGCACAATCAGATGTGCGAAAACATTTTATGCTCGCATCGCACTGTGCGAAACGAAATTCTCTTCGCACACAAATGTGGTGCTAATATTACGATTGCACAAATGTGCTATTGCATAAATGTGCACAAATGTGCGATTTTGCGCTTGCACCCAAGGATGGAAAAAAATTACATGAATTACATGATTTACACAATTTTGTTTGAAATATTTTGTTGCAAATTTTGAAAAAATAAATATTTATGTTCGTTGGCATCGTAACTTATGTTAAAAATTGCATAAATTAACAAATATTTAAAATAATTATTTTTGTTAAATATTTATAATGTTGACTAAAAATTATAACTGTCTTAACCTAATTTGTATTCTAACTTAAAATATTAGTTTTTTGTATATTACTTTCCAACTTTTGTGCATTTTTAAATGCAAATTTAGTAAGTAAACTTAAAGTATTTGTTTGGTAAGTTTTGCACCAGTTTAAAAGAAATAAAAACATATTTTAGGAAGATTTTTTTATTCCCAAATAATATGTATTTACATAGGTAGAGTACCTAACTTTTAATAAAAAACACGAAAGATTAGGAAAATATTTTCTTGAACAGGTAGCAGGATGCTTAGATTTGTTAATGTGAACTTAAAAAACATGAAAAGGAAGTAAAATTTTTAACTCTTTTGGTAGGACACAAAATTTTTAAATACAAAGCAATTAGTTTCCACAGAAATATATGAATGAATACTAATAATAGATTAGGTAAAATACTATTAAGTAAAAAACAAACATACTAAGCCTCAGTCACTTACACCTTAAAGGACAAAAGCAATACTCTATCGTGTTTATTTTAATTTTTAAGTGATGATTAGGTGATAATTAAAATTTTATGATATATTTAATATTTTCAAAGTAAGATATGTAGAACCGATACTCTTTACTTATAACATTTCGAAACAAATACTCTTTCTTTATTAAATTCATGTACCTATTTAACTCATATATCATAAACTATTTATATTTTATATTATAACAAAGTCTTCAAGTACATTGTGAAATTAACTTTATTCCCATGTTTTAAATTAATAAACCTTAAAATAATAAGTAATATAAGCAATAAATGTGAATCTAATAATAAATTCAAAATTAAAATATAAATATAAAATCATTTTTTCAATAAAATATTTCGCCTTAAGACGAAAATTAATGCAAATCAGTCTTCCATACTATTTTGTTGCGTTATTCATCGTAATATTGTGCGCTTTTAAATCATCATTTCACACAAATGTGCAGTAGACATTTCGTCTCCGCACATTTGGGTGCATTTTTATTTTCGAGTCTGCACACAAAATGTGCTCCTTGTATTCTTTTCTGCACACGTTGTGTGCGAGGGCAAGCTGGCTGCCTCACACACAATGTGCTGTGCGAAATAACTTCGGCACAAACACCGAATGCGTGTGCGAGTTTTATTTCACTCCACCACATTCGTGTTAAATGTGCGTTTTGTTTGTGCACACAAGATGTGCACTTAAGATGTGCACAAAAATTTTCTCACACCACATTTGTGGTGCAAAATTTTATTTCGAATCGCACAACATTTGTACGTGATGCTTTGCATTTTTGTGCACAGCACAGTGTTTTTCTAAAACCTGATATAAACTGATATACAGTAGGTATCTAGTATCGCGAATAGCCAATTTAACAATTATCCAATTCAACGATAGAAAAAATCATGTCATTGACTATTTAAAATACCGCATTATGCACTCGCTATATGTTAAATATAATTTATATTTTATAATTTATATTTTATATTATATAAAATATTTGTAAATTTAACGAACTTTGTTAGCAAATGTTGTTAAGGTTTACAATTTCAACACACCACAAAATTATTGTGGAGCAATTAAAATTTCTGCACAATCAACTAAAAAAAATAATAAATATTACATTCAAACTACAATACAGGTTGGCTGAAAAAGTTTTGAAAGCGACACTTATTAATCAGTAGAAGAATCAAAATTTATACGCCAAACACATTATACGTCTAAACACATTCAGATGTTTATAAGCCATTTTTTTTATAAGCCATTTGAAATTGACGTGTCGGTGATTTTGTCACAAAGGAAAACCCGAATATCGTGCAGTGATAACGTTCTTTGTTTTAGAAGGTTTATCAGTAACAGAAACTCATCGATAAGTTTTAGAGTTTAAACGTGAACGTCATTAAGAAAGTCTACGACATTGTTCATAGAGATCCATGTTTGAGTAAGCGCGAATTCGCTGTTACCATAGACATTTCGGACTAACGAGAAATCTGTATCTTAAAAAAAAGAATTGCATATGAAAAAGGGATTCGGAAATTTAGTGCCGCATTCGGTGACAATTAAATTAGTACAGCTTTGCGTTAGTTGGGTAATGAACACTGACTCTGGTACAAGGTTCTTTGGCAAGGTACAAGCTCAAGCAACGCTACTAGCAGTCTCAAAAAATGATTTACGAATAATTAAATATAAGAAACAATTTCAAGACCACTGATATGGCAGAACTTTTGTTCTATTTGTTAACTTTATATAATTGGGAAATTAAAAAATGTTTTATTTCGTTTCAAATATATATGTTTTTATTAGAATTCCTTTTTTAAACAAAACTTTAATTTATTTAACTGCGCTTAACAATGCTTAAACAAAAACAATAGGGCAGATATTACGCACTTTCAACAATAGAATGATACATTCTTCTATCTGACCTATTCTGCATAAATGGTTTGGTCTAGTAAAAATCGAAAATAATAGAATGTTCATTGTTTAAACAATAAAATATATGACTTGTTGAAAAAAAAACATATAATTCATTAACAAAAAATAATAAAAAATGATTTGTATTAAGATCGCATAAAAATCAAAAAAAAAATTTGATTTTTTAAAAGTAAAAAGCATTACTTTTTTCTTGTGTCAAAGTTTTGACAATAAATTTAAGTTTTTAAATTTGGTCTAATTGGTGTATTTCATAAAAAATTTTAAAAGAAATTAAAATAAATTTTGAGACTTTTGGACAATGAAATTGTGCAAGATTTTATTGTAAATAGTATACAACCTAGTGTACCTAGTAGAATTTACTAGAACTGCCGTACTGTTGACTGGTTCCAATTTCCATACACAATTTGAGGATGATCGATATCAATGACAAAGGTGAGTCCTTATTTAATTTTATATGTTAAAGTAAACTTTGTTAACCTAATAGGGGTTAGGAACCGACCTACATCGGACCCACTTTAAGTAACGTTCTCGACATTACTGTATATACAAACACAAGTAATATAAGAGGAGATTGAATGGTGTTACTTGAGCCGTGGTTTGTTGTTGCTTTCGTCTAAAGGTTCCCGGTTGTGTTTTTCTTTATAGAAGTGAACCAACGAGAAAAGCTAATGAGCTAGTACCTAAAAATTTTGTTCTACTGTACTACTGCAATTTTGTACTACTGACCCTATAGAGTATAGACTATTTGTTTAGCTGCCTTTCTTCTCCAATCTTTTGAATAAATTTTAGCAACTCACATACGGAGCGTGATACGTCCCGAAAGATTGTTAGAATTGCATTTTATTAAATCATTGTTATGCAGTGCAATATGTTTATTATAAATCCCTGAAGTGCTAAGCTAAACATTTTTTCTTATTTTGACCTTTTTTTACTTATTTTTAAATAAAAAAAACATCAAATTCTTTTAAATGTATATTCATTAGTATATGGCGACCAAGCCGCATGTAAGGATGTTCAATACGTTTTCAGAGAGCAGAAAATGAACTTTCTGTTTTGGAGAGGTTAGCGAAGGTAGTCAACATCTATTATATTCTCTTGAATGAAATAAAGCAAATCGAGTGCTGATGAGGTATAAAAACAATAATTGAGAGTGGTGCCGCTTTGTAGAGAAAGAAATTCATAAGTGACACTAAATGAAGTGTAAAGAATTTCGTGATTACGTTTTAATATAACATGTTTTCGTGGTACTTTAAGGTGACCAGATTTTTAGATGGGCAAAGCGGGGCAACTCATACAGAATAAAAATAATATCGTAATATATATTTCTTACCTGTGCAGAGTATTTTTCCAACTGTAGCAAAATAACACTTCACCGAAAAAGGTAGGTGTGATTATGTGCTGCAGTTATCTAGATAGTTCGGATAGTAAGAAACTAATTAACTTTTTAATTCATCTATATAAGAAAAAAGTTTATTAAACGGTTTAATTATGTTAAAATTCATAATTTAAAAACAGAAATGATTCGGAACTAATTTAACATGTTAATATTTTATGTATACATTTATTTTAGAAATAAAGAGCAAACATTTTGGTATAGTTTTTCTTCGAAAATTGATTTAATGGTATTATGGTGCGTA